AATCATACACTAATTACTTCATGTTATATATAATCACAAGTGCTAAGGATACACACTGCTCACACATTGATTAACATAAATAATGCTAAATCACAACATTCATATACTTTATACTTAACATAGGTTGAGTATTTATGCTCTCACATTAATAATAGTTCAGACACAGAAAACATGTTTTAAAACTCTATACAGACGAAAGCCAGACTACAGCTGAGAGTAAGTGTCCTGCGTTCCAAAACAAAGCTCGTAAATCAACCCTTATCAGTAGAAGAATGAGCAGAAGGCTGTCTGCGGCCTTCGGAGTTACCATGGAGATAAGATCTGCTCCTGAGTGGCTGAACATGGTGTCACTCGGACCATCAAGAGGTTTTGACATCCAATCACAAGTCTGTCCGAACCCGAAAGGGCAGGACATGAGAAACCTATAAATCTCGCTCAGACACAAAGTTTAGTTGAACAAACCAGGCTGATTGACCAGGCAAGGTTCGCTCCGACTTTGTTCCTCAGACTGCATTCTGATTACATGTAATATCTGCATACTTTAACTTTGTCTCAATTAAATCTTTAATACTAAGTTGAAGTGCTCCTGAAATTCTGTGCTCGGGTCATTTGAACACCCCAAAACCCTTCAGATGGTGACCCCGACGTGATGATTTTCGAGCACACGAGGAGCGGTGAGATTCGACCCATGAGCGGAGCGACTGTTCGCATCCAGAGGAGAAGCGCTTCACATTAAAACAGGTAAGCGGGTTACCTAAGTTGGCCGAAAGGCCCAAAAACTCCGCTATTCGGCCGTAAACCAAATTGAGCCTCTGGATGGGCATGGTGTGTTCTGTCTCCTGAAATAAAGGAGGAATAGAAGCTAATGTTAATATAATAACTAGAGGCACTGAGCATGGAGCTTAAAGTGTGCAGAATATAGGATAAGAGAGTACAATGAAAAAGAGAGAAGCGCTAAGACTAAGGTCAAAGGGAAAAGTGAAGATAAGAGATAAGAGAAAAAAAAGAGACTAAGAAGGCCAAAAACAGAAATAAGGGAAGAAGAAATATCCTAGTAGTATCTCTGCAGCAGCGCGCCTCCTATCGGTCGACGGGCCGGTAGTTAAACGTAGACTGGGTCACGTGAGCTCAGCTGACGTCGGGCTGGGGAATTGAGGGACCCCTTAAACGGACGGAATTGGCAAATAAAACTAGGATTAAAACGCGAGTCGGGAACCGTGGAAAATGCGTGAATAAATTAATAAAAGGAGAAACCATGCTATAAAAAATAAACATAAAAAACTCATAATTTAAAAATCCGCATACGATGCGATTAATAAAAAACTCATAATTTAAAAATCCGCACACGATGCGATTAATAAAAAACTCAATTAAAAATCCGCACACGATGAGATAGAAAAAATTTAAACAATTAAAATGCATAAAAACGGAGTGAAGAAAATAAATAGAGTGTTGTTTAAAGAACAAGGAAACAACCTCCACCCTATGTGACTTCAAGGTCTGTCCAACGGCGCCCCCTGCTGGAGTGTACCCAGTGATGCACGTGACATCAGGGACCGTACACATAGGGAATGAGGGCTTGAAAGAAGTGGAAGAGGAGGCAGGTGAAGGAGGGATGAGCCGAAGGATGGAAGCAGAACGAAGGAGAGACATCAGCCAGCAGTTGGCAGGACCAACGACCGAGACATTCTGGACAGAACCAACAACCTCTGAGAGGAGGCTCAGACTCAGGATGCTTGGTTGAAAATCACTGGTAGACATGCGCAGTCCGAATAACAAAAAACGTATTTTAGGAAGGCTGTACTTGATGGTTTGCCTAGTGACGTGGTAGATGACCTAGAAAAAGAAAAAAAACGCTGACTTCCTTGCAGCTGATGCTGAGAGGTGGGAGAGACATGTGGTACATTGTCTTAAATATGCTAAAAAACAGAGAGAGAAGGAAGCAAATGAGCTACAGGACATGAAAAATCAGTTGGTTAAGCTTAAATTGAATGACGCCAGACATAAAATAAATGAGGAGAAAAAAGTGAAAGAGAAAAGACAAATGGCGGTTCAGGAGGGTGTCGAAACCTCCACACCAGGGGTAGTTGCTGTGCAACAGTGGTCTGAAACATCTGGTCCGCGGGCCAGAGGGGGACAACCAGCCAGGGGAGCTGGACGAGGGAGAAGGGGTGGCGGTGCGGCGCGGAGGGGTTGGGGACGTGGCGTCTCGCGCTGGGGATGGCGGGGGGATGCTTATTTCCTCTGTGGTCAGCAGGGGCACTGGGCGAGAGATTGCATGTACCCAGGCCCACCTTCCCACCAGCCAATGTGGGAACAACAGTGGCCGTACCAGCAGCCTATGAGAGGCCAAACACAATACCAGCAGCAGGCAGAAGTGCCCCCTCAGATGCAAGGAGGGAGGGGCTCGCAAGAGCAATGAGAC